AAACTCGCCAAAACAAACACTTTTCATAACAACAAGCCAAACTCATCAAAAGAACACTAAAACAACAGCTTAACGCATTCATGCCATTACACATGCTCAAAAACGTTCAAACTCGCCAAAACAAACACTTTTCATAACAACAAGCCAAACTCATCAAAAGAACACTAAAACAACAGCTTAACGCATTCATGCCATTACACATGCTCAAAAACGTTCAAACTCGCCAAAACAAACACTTTTCATAACAACAAGCCAAACTCATCAAAAGAACACTAAAACAACAGCTTAACGCATTCATGCCATTACACATGCTCAAAAACGTTCAAACTGGCCAAAACAACACTTTTCATAACAACAAGCCAAACTCATCAAAAGAGCACTAAAACAACAGCTTAACGCATTCATGCCATTACACATGCTCAAAAACGTTCAAACTCGCCAAAACAAACACTTTTCATAACAACAAGCCAAACTCATCAAAAGAACACTAAAACAATGGCTTAACACAAGGGATTACTAATTCAACACATTCATGCCATTACACATGCTAAAAAACGTTCAAACTCGCCAAAACAAACACTTTTCATAACAACAAGCCAAACTCATCAAAAGAACACTAAAACAACAGCTTAACGCATTCATGCCATTACACATGCTCAAAAACATTCAAACTGGCCAAAACGAACAATGTTCATAACAACAAGCCAAAGTCATCAAAAGAACACTAAAACAACAGCTTAACGCATTCATGCCATTACACATGCTCAAAAACGTTCAAATTCGCCAAAACGAACAATGTTCAAAACAACAAGCCAAACTCATCACAAGAACACTAAAACAAAAGCTTAACGCATTCATGCCATTACACATGCTAAAAAAACGTTCAAACTCGCCAAAACGAACAATGTTCATAACAACCAGCCAAACTCATCAAAAGAACACTAAAACAACAGCTTAACGCATTAGTGCCATTACACATGCTCAAAAACGTTCAAACTCACCAAAACAAACACTTTTCATAATAACAAGCCAAACTCATCAAAAGAACACTAAAACAACAGCTTAACGCATTCATGCCATTACACATGCTCAAAAACGTTCAAATTCGCCAAAACGAACAATGTTCAAAACAACAAGCCAAACTCATCAAAAGAACACTAAAACAAAAGCTTAACGCATTCATGCCATTACACATGCTAAAAAAACCTTCAAACTGGCCAAAACGAACAATGTTCATAACAACAAGCCAAACTCATCAAAAGAACACTAAAACAACAGCTTAACGAATTCATGCCATTACACATGCTCAAAAACGTTCAAACTCGCCAAAACAAACACTTTTCATAACAACAAGCCAAACTCATCAAAAGAACACTAAAACAACAGCTTAACGCATTCATGCCATTACACATGCTCAAAAACGTTCAAACTGGCCAAAACAAACACTGTTCATAACAACAAGCCAAACTCATCAAAAGAACACTAAAACAACAGCTTAACGCATTCATGCCATTACACATGCTCAAAAACGTTCAAACTCGCCAAAACAAACACTTTTCATAACAACAAGCCAAACTCATCAAAAGAACACTAAAACAACAGCTTAACACAAGGGATTACTAATTCAACACATTCATGCCATTACACATGCTCAAAAACGTTCAAACTGGCCAAAACAAACACTTTTCATAACAACAAGCCAAACTCATCAAAAGAACACTAAAACAACAGCTTAACGCATTCATGCCATTACACATGCTCAAAAACGTTCAAAGTCGCCAAAACAAACACTTTTCATAACAACAAGCCAAACTCATCAAAAGAACACTAAAACAACAGCTTAACGCATTCATGCCATTACACATGCTCAAAAACGTTCAAACTCGCCAAAACAAACACTTTTCATAACAACAAGCCAAACTCAACAAAAGAACACTAAAACAACAGCTTAACGCATTCATGCCATTACACATGCTCAAAAACGTTCAAACTCGCCAAAACAAACACTTTTCATAACAACCAGACAAACTCATCAAAAGAACACTAAAACAACAGCTTAACACAAGGGATTACTAATTCAACACATGCATGCCATTACACATGCTAAAAAACCTTCAAACTCGCCAAAACAAACACTTTTCATAACAACAAGCCAAACTCAACAAAAGAACACTAAAACAACAGCTTAACGCATTCATGCCATTACACATGCTCAAAAACGTTCAAACTCGCCAAAACAAACACTTTTCATAACAACAAGCCAAACTCAACAAAAGAACACTAAAACAACAGCTTAACGCATTCATGCCATTACACATGCTAAAACAACCTTCAAACTGGCCAAAACGAACAATGTTCATAACAACAAGCCAAACTCATCAAAAGAACACTAAAACAACAGCTTAACACAAGGGATTACTAATTCAACACATGCATGCCATTACACATGCTAAAAAACGTTCAAACTCGCCAAAACAAACACTTTTCATAACAACAAGCCAAACTCATCAAAAGAACACTAAAACAACAGCTTAACGCATTCATGCCATTACACATGCTCAAAAACGTTCAAACTCGCCAAAACAAACACTTTTCATAACAACAAGCCAAACTCATCAAAAGAACACTAAAACAACAGCTTAACGCATTCATGCCATTACACATGCTCAAAAACGTTCAAACTCGCCAAAACAAACACTTTTCATAACAACAAGCCAAACTCATCAAAAGAACACTAAAACAACAGCTTAACGCATTCATGCCATTACACATGCTCAAAAACGTTCAAACTCGCCAAAACAAACACTTTTCATAACAACCAGCCAAACTCGTCAAAAGAACACTTAAACAACAGCTTAACACAAGGGATTACTAATTCAACACATTCATGCCATTACTCATGCTCAAAAACGTTCAAACTCGCCAAAACAAACACTTTTCATAACAACAAGCCAAACTCATCAAAAGAACACTAAAACAACAGCTTAACGCATTCATGCCATTACACATGCTAAAAAACCTTCAAACTGGCCAAAACGAACACTTTTCATAACAACAAGCCAAACTCATCAAAAGAACACTAAAACAACAGCTTAACGCATTCATGCCATTACACATGCTCAAAAACGTTCAAACTCGCCAAAACAAACACTTTTCATAACAACAAGCCAAACTCAACAAAAGAACACTAAAACAACAGCTTAACGCATTCATGCCATTACACATGCTCAAAAACGTTCAAACTCGCCAAAACAAACACTTTTCATAACAACCAGACAAACTCATCAAAAGAACACTAAAACAACAGCTTAACACAAGGGATTACTAATTCAACACATGCATGCCATTACACATGCTCAAAAACGTTCAAACTCGCCAAAACAAACACTTTTCATAACAACAAGCCAAACTCATCAAAAGAACACTAAAACAACAGCTTAACGCATTCATGCCATTACACATGCTCAAAAACGTTCAAACTCGCCAAAACAAACACTTTTCATAACAACAAGCCAAACTCGTCAAAAGAACACTTAAACAACAGCTTAACACAAGGGATTACTAATTCAACACATTCATGCCATTACTCATGCTAAAAAACCTTCAAACTGGCCAAAACAAACACTGTTCATAACAACAAGCCAAACTCATCAAAAGAACACTAAAACAACAGCTTAACGCATTCATGCCATTACACATGCTAAAAAACCTTCAAACTGGCCAAAACGAACAATGTTCATAACAACAAGCCAAACTCATCAAAAGAACACTAAAACAACAGCTTAACGCATTCATGCCATTACACATGCTCAAAAACGTTCAAACTCGCCAAAACAAACACTTTTCATAACAACAAGCCAAACTCATCAAAAGAACACTAAAACAACAGCTTAACGCATTCATGCCATTACACATGCTAAAAAAACCTTCAAACTGGCCAAAACGAACAATGTTCATAACAACAAGCCAAACTCATTAAAGGACCCTAAAACAACAGCTTAACGCATTAGTGCCATTACACATGCTAAAAAACCTTCAAACTGGCCAAAACGAACAATGTTCATAACAACAAGCCAAACTCATCAAAAGAACACTAAAACAACAGCTTAACGCATTCATGCCATTACACATGCTCAAAAACATTCAAACTCGCCAAATCAAACACTTTTCATATCAACAAGCCAAAGTCATCAAAAGAACACTAAAACAACAGCTTAACGCATTCATGCCATTACACATGCTCAAAAACCTTCAAACTGGCCAAAACGAACAATGTTCATAACAACAAGCCAAACTCATCAAAAGAACACTAAAACAACAGCTTAACGCATTCATGCCATTACACATGCTCAAAAACGTTCAAACTCGCCAAAACAAACACTTTTCATAACAACAAGCCAAACTCATCAAAAGAACACTAAAACAACAGCTTAACGCATTCATGCCATTACACATGCTAAAACAACCTTCAAACTGGCCGAAACGAACAATGTTCATAACAACAAGCCAAACTCATCAAAAGAACACTAAAACAACAGCTTAACGCATTCATGCCATTACACATGCTCAAAAACGTTCAAACTCGCCAAAACAAACACTTTTCATAACAACAAGCCAAAGTCATCAAAACAAGACTAAAACAACAGCTTAACGCATTCATGCCATTACACATGCTCAAAAACGTTCAAACTCGCCAAAACAAACACTTTTCATAACAACAAGCCAAAGTCATCAAAAGAAGACTAAAACAACAGCTTAACGCATTCATGCCATTACACATGCTCAAAAACATTCAAACTCGCCAAAACAAACACTTTTCATATCAACAAGCCAAAGTCATCAAAAGAACACTAAAACAACAGCTTAACGCATTCATGCCATTACACATGCTCAAAAACGTTCAAACTCGCCAGAACAAACACTTTTCATATCAACAAGCCAAAGTCATCAAAAGAACACTAAAACAACAGCTTAACGCATTCATGCCATTACACATGCTCAAAAACCTTCAAACTGGTCAAAACGAACAATGTTCATAACAACAAGCCAAACTCATCAAAAGAACACTAAAACAACAGCTTAACGCATTCATGCCATTACACATGCTCAAAAACGTTCAAACTCGCCAAAACAAACACTTTTCATAACAACAAGCCAAACTCATCAAAAGAACACTAAAACAACAGCTTAACGCATTCATGCCATTACACATGCTAAAACAACCTTCAAACTGGCCGAAACGAACAATGTTCATAACAACAAGCCAAACTCATCAAAAGAACACTAAAACAACAGCTTAACGCATTCATGCCATTACACATGCTCAAAAACGTTCAAACTCGCCAAAACAAACACTTTTCATAACAACAAGCCAAAGTCATCAAAAGAAGACTAAAACAACAGCTTAACGCATTCATGCCATTACACATGCTCAAAAACATTCAAACTCGCCAAAACAAACACTTTTCATAACAACAAGCCAAAGTCATCAAAAGAAGACTAAAACAACAGCTTAACGCATTCATGCCATTACACATGCTCAAAAACATTCAAACTCGCCAAAACAAACACTTTTCATATCAACAAGCCAAAGTCATCAAAAGAACACTAAAACAACAGCTTAACGCATTCATGCCGTTACACATGCTCAAAAACGTTCAAACTCGCCAGAACAAACACTTTTCATAACAACAAGCCAAACTCATCAAAAGAACACTAAAACAACAGCTTAACGCATTCATGCCATTACACATGCTCAAAAACGTTCAAACTGGCCAAAACGAACAATGTTCATAACAACAAGCCAAACTCATCAAAAGAACACTAAAACAACAGCTTAACGCATTCATGCCATTACACATGCTCAAAAACGTTCAAACTCGCCAAAACAAACACTTTTCATAACAACAAGCCAAACTCATCAAAAGAACACTAAAACAACAGCTTAACGCATTCATGCCATTACACATGCTAAAAAAAACTTCAAACTGGCCAAAACAAACACTTTTCATAACAACAAGCCAAACTCATCAAAAGAACACTAAAACAACAGCTTAACGCATTCATGCCATTACACATGCTCAAAAACGTTCAAACTCGCCAAAACAAACACTTTTCATAACAACAAGCCAAAGTCATCAAAAGAACACTAAAACAACAGCTAAACACATTCATGCCATTACACATGCTCAAAAACGTTCAAACACGGCAAAAAAAAAACACTTTTCATAACAACAAGCAAAGCTCATCAAAAGAACACTAAAACAACAGCTTAACGCATTCATGCCATTACACATGCTCAAAAATATTCAAACTGGCCAAAACAAACACTTTTCATAACAACAAGCCAAACTCATCATAAGAACACTAAAACAATGGCTTAACACAAGGGATTACTAATTCAACACAGTCATGCCATTACACATGCTCAAAAACGTTCAAACTCGCCAAAACAAACACTTTTCATAACAACAAGCCAAACTCATCAAAAGAACACTAAAACAACAGCTTAACGCATTCATGCCATTACACATGCTCAAAAACGTTCAAACTCGCCAAAACAAACACTTTTCATAACAACAAGCCAAACTCATCAAAAGAACACTAAAACAACAGCTTAACGCATTCATGCCATTACACATGCTCAAAAACGTTCAAACTCGCCAAAACAAACACTTTTCATAACAACAAGCCAAACTCATCAAAAGAACACTAAAACAAAAGCTTAACGCATTCATGCCATTACACATGCTCAAAAACGTTCAAACTCGCCAAAACAAACACTGTTCATAACAACAAGCCAAACTCATCAAAAGAACACTAAAACAACAGCTTAACGCATTCATGCCATTACACATGCTCAAAAACGTTCAAACTCGCCAAAACAAACACTTTTCATAACAACAAGCCAAACTCATCAAAAGAACACTAAAACAACAGCTTAACGCATTCATGCCATTACACATGCTCAAAAACGTTCAAACTCGCCAAAACAAACACTTTTCATAACAACAAGCCAAACTCATCAAAAGAACACTAAAACAACAGCTTAACGCATTCATGCCATTACACATGCTCAAAAACGTTCAAACTGGCCAAAACGAACAATGTTCATAACAACAAGCCAAACTCATCAAAAGAACACTAAAACAACAGCTTAACGCATTCATGCCATTACACATGCTCAAAAACGTTCAAACTCGCCAAAACAAACACTTTTCATAACAACAAGCCAAACTCATCAAAAGAACACTAAAACAACAGCTTAACGCATTCATGCCATTACACATGCTCAAAAACGTTCAAACTGGCCAAAACGAACAATGTTCATAACAACAAGCCAAACTCATCAAAAGAACACTAAAACAACAGCTTAACGAATTCATGCCATTACACATGCTCAAAAACCTTCAAATTCGCCAAAACGAACATTGTTCATAACAACAAGCCAAACTCATCAAAAGAACACTAAAACAACAGCTTAACGCATTCATGCCATTACACATGCTCAAAAACGTTCAAACTCGCCAAAACAAACACTTTTCATAACAACAAGCCAAACTCATCAAAAGAACACTAAAACAACAGCTTAACGCATTCATGCCATTACACATGCTCAAAAACGTTCAAACTCGCCAAAACAAACACTTTTCATAACAACAAGCCAAACTCATCAAAAGAACACTAAAACAACAGCTTAACACAAGGGATTACTAATTCAACACATTCATGCCATTACACATGCTCAAAAACCTTCAAACTGGCCAAAACGAACAATGTTCATAACAACAAGCCAAACTCATCAAAAGAACACTAAAACAACAGCTTAACGCATTCATGCCATTACACATGCTCAAAAACGTTCAAACTCGCCAAAACAAACACTTTTCATAACAACAAGCCAAACTCATCAAAAGAACACTAAAACAACAGCTTAACGCATTCATGCCATTACACATGCTCAAAAACGTTCAAACTCGCCAAAACGAACACTTTTCATAACCACAAGCCAAACTCATCAAAAGAACACTAAAACAACAGCTTAACGCAGTAGTGCCATTACACATGCTCAAAAACATTCAAACTCGCCAAATCAAACACTTTTCATATCAACAAGCCAAAGTCATCAAAAGAACACTAAAACAACAGCTTAACACGCATTCATGCCATTACTCATGCTAAAAAACCTTCAAACTGGCCAAAACGAACAATGTTCATAACAACAAGCCAAACTCATCAAAAGAACACTAAAACAACAGCTTAACGCATTAGTGCCATTACACATGCTAAAAAACCTTCAAACTGGCCAAAACGAACAATGTTCATAACAACAAGCCAAACTCATCAAAAGAACACTAAAACAACAGCTTAACGCATTCATGCCATTACACATGCTCAAAAACGTTCAAACTACGCCAAAACAAACACTTTTCATAACAACAAGCCAAACTCATCAAAAGAAGACTAAAACAACAGCTTAACGCATTCATGCCATTACACATGCTCAAAAACGTTCAAACTCGCCAAAACAAACACTTTTCATAACAACAAGCCAAACTCATCAAAAGAAGACTAAAACAACAGCTTAACGCATTCATGCCATTACACATGCTCAAAAACATTCAAACTCGCCAAAACAAACACTTTTCATAACAACAAGCCAAACTCATCAAAAGAACACTAAAACAACAGCTTAACGCATTCATGCCATTACACATGCTCAAAAACGTTCAAACTCGCCAAAACAAACACTTTTCATAACAACAAGCCAAACTCATCAAAAGAACACTAAAACAACAGCTTAACGCATTTATGCCATTACACATGCTCAAAAACGTTCAAACTGGCCAAAACGAACAATGTTCATAACAACAAGCCAAACTCATCAAAAGAACACTAAAACAACAGCTTAACGCATTCATGCCATTACACATGCTCAAAAACGTTCAAACTGGCCAAAATGAACAATGTTCATAACAACAAGCCAAACTCATCATAAGAACACTAAAACAACAGCTTAACGCATTCATGCCATTACACATGCTCAAAAACGTTCAAACTGGCCAAAACAAACAATGTTCATAACAACAAGCCAAACTCATCAAAAGAACACTAAAACAACAGCTTAACGCATTCATGCCATTACACATGCTCAAAAACGTTCAAACTCGCCAAAACAAACACTTTTCATAACAACAAGCCAAACTCATCAAAAGAACACTAAAACAACAGCTTAACGCATTCATGCCATTACACATGCTCAAAAACGTTCAAACTCGCCAAAACAAACAATTTTCATAACAACAAGCCAAACTCATCAAAAGAACACTAAAACAACAGCTTAACGCATTCATGCCATTACACATGCTCAAAAACGTTCAAACTCGCCAAAACAAACACTTTTCATAACAACAAGCCAAACTCATCAAAAGAACACTAAAACAACAGCTTAACGCATTCATGCCATTACACATGCTCAAAAACGTTCAAACTGGCCAAAACGAACAATGTTCATAACAACAAGCCAAACTCATCAAAAGAACACTAAAACAATGGCTTAACACAAGGGATTACTAATTCAACACATTCATGCCATTACACATGCTCAAAAACGTTCAAACTCGCCAAAACAAACACTTTTCATAACAACAAGCCAAACTCATCAAAAGAACACTAAAACAACAGCTTAACGCATTCATGCCATTACACATGCTCAAAAACGTTCAAACTGGCCAAAACGAACAATTTTCATAACAACAAGCCAAACTCATCAAAAGAACACTAAAACAACAGCTTAACGCATTCATGCCATTACACATGCTCAAAAACGTTCAAACTCGCCAAAACGAACAATGTTCATAACAACAAGCCAAACTCATCAAAAGAACACTAAAACAACAGCTTAACGCATTCATGCCATTACACATGCTCAAAAACGTTCAAACTCGCCAAAACAAACACTTTTCATAACAACAAGCCAAACTCATCAAAAGAACACTAAAACAACAGCTTAACGCATTCATGCCATTACACATGCTCAAAAACGTTCAAACTCGCCAAAACAAACACTTTTCATAACAACAAGCCAAACTCATCAAAAGAACACTAAAACAACAGCTTAACGCATTCATGCCATTACACATGCTCAAAAACGTTCAAACTGGCCAAAACGAACAATGTTCATAACAACAAGCCAAACTCATCAAAAGAACACTAAAACAACAGCTTAACGCATTCATGCCATTACACATGCTCAAAAACGTTCAAACTCGCCAAAACAAACACTTTTCATAACAACAAGCCAAACTCATCAAAAGAACACTAAAACAACAGCTTAACGCATTCATGCCATTACACATGCTCAAAAACGTTCAAACTGGCCAAAACAAACAATGTTCATAACAACAAGCCAAACTCATCAAAAGAACACTAAAACAACAGCTTAACGAATTCATGCCATTACACATGCTCAAAAACCTTCAAATTCGCCAAAACAACAATGTTCATAACAACAAGCCAAACTCATCAAAAGAACACTAAAACAACAGCTTAACGCATTCATGCCATTACACATGCTCAAAAACGTTCAAACTCGCCAAAACAAACACTTTTCATAACAACAAGCCAAACTCAT